CAATGTTGATCCGGATTAAAGGCGCAGTTGCTCCGATCAAAATTGTACCCTGTCAGATGACAGTAATGTCGATTGACGAGCCGTGAGGTCGTGGGTTCGAGTTCAACTGCCAGTAGAATATTCATTTAATTTTTTTAACACATTTATTACGGCATAAATAAGTGGTGCGTGCTTTTAACCAGACCCACCTAGCCAAGTAAAATAAATCAAATAAAATTGTAAAGAAATAAAAAAATAAAACAATTGGAATCAACTGCAGTTAATTCTCGATATAATTCCAAAATTAAAGAGTTTATGCGGATCAACGCTGCCGTCTGTCTATGCTTTAACTCACAGTTGGCCACTTCACAGGCACGCAAGCCAAAGCTTTCAAAAGCTCGCTGTACAATTTATATAGGGCAGGCAGAAAATGAAAGCTTTCGCTGGCCAATTCTGCTTCAAGTCATTAAAGTTTAATAGAAACGTGGTGACCGCTTCTGAGGCGATTCCTAAAGCAGGATAGAAAAACTTTTGAACTGCAGTATGAGTTATCGAACGGTAAATATGGGTCAAGCTCATTTGAGACTGAGCTAGAAGTATGGTATTAAGCAGTAAATCATACTAACCGTAAATCATTTTTTTTTTTTTGGGAATCAAGTTAAATGTGGCGAACTACTTGTGAAACTTTTTAACAGAATTACTGACCGGATTATTTCTCAGCCAACAATTGCGATCCAAAAGCTGTCACTTCATCCTGAGAATCGAATCAAAACTGACAAATCGCTATAAAAGGCGTGTGTATACTCGTATGTTCATGTACTTGTTGTGTTTATATGCAACACTCAATGTCAAATTAAGTTGTTGCTACTATCAAAACTTGAAAGTACAATCAAAATTTATGACGTAGACGCACACATACATACATACATATGGACACACACGTACTTACATACGTATAACATGTTGTCATTTAACGATCATAAATCAACAACATAGCAGTTAGTATAACAGCAATTTACAATTTAATTATGCGCACCAAAAAACAACAACAACAACAGTGCGTAGCAGCACGGTGAACGCTAGTAAATAAACGCTGAAATTAACTCAATTTTTGGCGTGTTGCAGGCAGGTTTTGTTTTTTTTCGTATGTATGTATATGGAGTGAAAGGCGCTTCAAATAAAGTAATTGGACGATAATAAATGAAGTATTTTGAGAGAACTGAGATGACAGTCGCAATGGCTGTTAAGGAGATGGAAAGGTAGAAAAAACGTATGAGAAAAAGTTCAATTTGAAAATGAGCCGAGTTAAATGGCAATGTTTGTATTTTGAATCTTTTTTCGTTTGTTTGTTTTTGCTGTGTAGATGCGGAACAAATGTTCAACATTTGAATGTCCGAAAAACCTCAATTAAAAACGCATTAGCTTGAGCGTTACAGAAACGCAAGTATAAATATGTATACACATTGGTAGCAAGCTCGCATGCCTATAGACATACATACATATGTACATATGCGGGTACAACAGAAGAGGCCTGCGTTATTATGTTGAAAAAAGCAACGACAGCAATATAGGCCGGGCGCCGTTCTTATTGCTGCAACAAGCGCCACTTTTTGGGGCACATCTACCATACATTCATATGTACATATTATGTACCGCTATACGCACTCAAGACTTGCCACTTTGTTTTTGCTCTTTTTTATCGTTCTTTTTTTTTTTTTTGTTTGTTTGTTGCACGACATTAACATGCTTCCATTCAAATTAACGATGTGTGCAATGTTGTTCAAACAATTTAATTAAAATGTAATTTATTTCAAATTGTTATACACGAACGAAAATAACTACACATTTTTGGGGATTGGCTGGTATTTAGTCTGCTGGTTGGGTTGTTGTTTTTTTTTATCGCTCTAGAGCTCTTCGTAAAGTGGCGTTTGCAATGTTGTAAGCCAGCCAGCCAAGTCTGCACCGTGGCGAAGTGCACACTAATTAACTTGTAATAAATGGAGCAGTTAACCTTTTTTTGGAAGAGTAGGCGTTCGCAAACATTTCGTATAATTATATTGCTTCTAATGGAAATGATGAATATGCGAGAAAAAGCTGTTATTACGCTTGAGTTCTTGGGAATCATGATATGCGCATTTTGGGCGTGAGGATATCTTGTAGTATGATGTTTATTTTTTTTTTTTTGTATTTTTCTGGCAATGGAAAGAATGCAGTTTTTTTTTTTAGTTACTCATCAGCTGTAGGATATGTTTTAAGGAATGTATTCTTCGTAATTCTAAAGTTTTGGTAGTCTTCAGTGCTTAAACGAAACTGAATAACTAAAAGAGCGATGCAAAGTTAAGTTATCCAGGGCAACTCGCATACAAACAAAAATAATAATCTGAATGTGCAAACAATTTTAAGGGTTTATTGTTATGTATATGTCAAAAGCAGGGTTTTTTTTAGCGGAATGGATCAAAGACAGCCGGTTTTCTGTAAGCCTCATAAAACTAAATTTGGAAGTAAACGAATTCTTGTAGAATAAATTAGCACCGAAATTTAAAATGATTTTTATTTATTTATTTTATTTTATTTTTTATTACATCCTTGAACATCCTTGAAAATGCTCAATATTTATTTTTGAAAAAGTAAAGTTGTTAAGTATTAATACACTTTCGACCACATCTTCAAATTTCGTCCTTCTAACTTTATTAGCATGAAAAATAAAATTAATTGAAGGAGCATTTTCAATACCTAGATATTAGTCCTTGTTCACCAAAAAAGTTATTTTGTTTCTAGTTTTACAGAATTTTCTTTTTCATTTGACACCCATAAAAAAATCAATTAAGCAAGTTAACTTTTTCTAACTACAATGTCGTTAATTTAATGAAAATTACGTTTGTGTGGGTTCATAATCTCTAGAAAAAAGTTTCCTTAAGACTTAGAGCCTTTTATCAAGTAGGTTTTAAAATTTATCTGCCCTTTAAACAAAAATTTTGTTCTGAAAAAAAAAACGTGTTTATAGGACAGATAAATTTCATGACCTACAGGAGAAAATGGCAGAGCTGCAGCTAACTGAGAAAATTTACTCTTCATCGTACGTTCCGCGCGGAGTGAAGCTCTACCCAGAGTTACAGCGGACGACGGCAAAGCGGTCGGCGGTAAGTGAACAGCTATATAGTAGCCGCAGTGAAATCCGTCAGAGTAAACACAATTGCGACACACGGCCGCTGCCGTCAGTTTTCATTTTGATTTGAAAATTATCATTAAAATTAAATATTTTTTCTGTGCGATTGCCAAACTTGTGAAATTAATAAAAATTACTACAATCAACACTCAATCAACATTGTGCCGTCCCCACTGGGCGGTAAAAATAGAAATAAATTTAAATCAACCGAAAAACGTCGGCGCCGCAATTGTGAGCCATTCCATATGCCGTTGTGAGTTTTAATTTTGACAGCGGTTAACCGACGACCATTTTACCGTCGTCCGCTGCAATTCTGGGTAGAGCTTAAAGCTTTCAAATTGCTGCCACCATACGAAACTGTTTATATACATATGTATATAGGTAGCAAAATTTTAAGTAGCGTTTTGGAGCTGAAAGTAAATCAGTTTTTTATTTTGAATCTCTTAGTAAATTTTTCAGCTTGATGACGCTGCTGAAAACAATATAAAAAAATAAGTGCATTTTTCACAACCGAGTTACAAAAGAACACTTGCTTAAATGTCGATATAAATACATGCAAAGCAATACCACAAACTCGGTTATTTATCAGAGCTCTCCCAGGTCGATTAAAATAAATAAAGTAAAAAAAAATTTTAATATTCCACGCTTCTAGTATAAATGGACTAAAAAGTAGAAAATAATATTTCGCAGTCCCATAGAATTTGTTTTGATAACTTTTGACTTTGAAAATTTTGTAAAAGTCATAATAAACAATTTATGAGCTTGAAAATTAAAAACGTGGGAACACCTGGTTTGCTTTGTTTCGCCTTTCTACGCTCGACACCGCTCGGCTTTCTGTGTGTACTGTACTTATTATGGTGCTTATTTAAACAAATAAAATGTAAATAAAATTAATTAAAGAAACTTGTAAAATAGCAATTAATGATTAACCTCAATTAAGAATGAAAACTTGCTTGAATATTGTAGCTGCAAAACTGTCGATAATTAGACCATCGATAGTGTTCGGCACTATTTTTTTAACTATATATATATATCGTCGATAGTATCGTATAAGGTTTTCGCCCAAATTTGATATGCAGAATTATTTAAAAATGTACTCTAAAACGACGTACTGGACACGTTTCTTAAAAGCTTAACACTTGAGTTATTTGAAATGAAATGAAAATGAGAAAAAATTTAATTTTTCTCCTTTAAATTTAATATTTTGCGCTTTTAAAGACATCCTCCTGTTCCATATATGGCATTCAACGAGTAAATTAAAATTTTAGAACAAAACAAAAAAAAAACTAATCAACAACGTAATTAGAGTAGTCCTTTAATAAAAATAAAAAAACATGTTAATGATATTGCGGTGACCTTATTCGAGTGTTTGTGTAAGTTGTGTGGTCGGTTTGTGAAATATTTGCGGAAATTTTATGATTTGTTATTAGGGCTCGGAATGTCATGTACTAAAAAAATTTTAAATTTGCGCTATAAACAAGCAAAATGTGCAATTAAAAATATGTTCCTAATATTTCATTGCCGGTACAAAAATAAATAACACATGCATTTTAATCAAACAATGATGAAAACAATTCACTTCAAAATACAATACATATTTACAGTCAGTCAATAATGTTTAGGTATAGCGAATTTTTTACAATACGGGCAACTATTTTTTAAATATTTTATTTTTCGCAAATTTTTTATAAAAGAGGGTTAATTTTACAACAACGTTGAAAATGACTGTTAAAATGTCCCTGCAAGCCTATATCAATGGAAGCTCTAATTTAGCAATGCCTGCTCCCATGCGAAGTCCACTTCAACGAATTCAAGTAAAGAAAACTTACTCAATAGTAAAGTATTGTAAACTTACTACCGGGAAATCGATGTGGAAATATCCGTCCATGTCGACTCAGCAGCCACGGGTAGAGCGGGTAACTGTCGCGAATCAGGTGTGGCCCGCCAAAGTGCGGATGATGCGGCCCGGGCGGGAATAATGCCATTGGATGGCCTGGCGGCAAATGCGCTGCGGGATGATGATGTTGTTGTTGCTGCTGCTGCTGCTGATGGTGATGATGCGCTAATGCAGCGGCCATTTGAAATTGCGCTGCCAGGAAGTGTGGATTAGGCGGCGGAGGTGGAGGTGGAACAACACCAGCCGCAGATGGCGGTAGCGGTGGCCCACCGTGTGGTTGTGGTGGTGCTGGCGGTACCGATCCGGGTATCGTTGGCGCTAAAGGATGCACAACAGCAGGGTTGCCAGACGCGTTGCCACCCTCTAACGAGTTAGGCGCGCCACCGGGTCCAACTGCACCGCCGCCGCCGCCACTGCCTGACTGAAGTAGAGAAAGACTTTGTGGCGCTTGCATTGGTAAAGGGCGTATCAAACCGGCCGGTATGCCAGGCACATGAATGGGTCGCTTGTTAAGCTCACCTATGCTGCCGCTGGCGCTACCTGGCGTTTGAGGCGATTGTGGTGTGGCGCGGCTGTGTGGTGGTGTGGGCGAAAGAGAGGGCGTGCGACTACGATTAACAGTTATATTAGGTTCACGGGAAGTTTGTGTCGTTAGGCGAGTGGGCGAACGTGAACGCGATCGTGTGCGACATCTGCCCGCCAGTAGGGGACTAGCGCAATCACGTTCCGGCGATTGATCCAATATCGAGCGACGACGACAATAGATGAGACCCATGGGCGGGCGTGCGAGTGCAGTGTGGTGCTGATCCGCTGCCGAGCGATAATTCACAGTAAAGCTATTCCTTAATTCTAATGGTTGTTGGCAATGATGGGAGTCTTCGCTGAGGCTAAGGCTGACGCGACTGGGCGGACGCTCGTACGGGAGCAGTAAGCGATCGCGATCGCGCTCGCCATTTGGACGTTCATCTGGACTGTCGCTGCGTTGCGAGGAGGAGAGTGGTGGTGAGATGACAGTAGGACGTATTGGTCGACAATTCGTTGTTGTTTGCGTGGGATCGCCGTCATCGCGTTTTTTGCTGTTGCTGCCAACTATCGAATCTATGCTGAACGCCAACTTTGGTTTGATGTTTGCAGTCGTTACGGTTGCCGTTGCCACCGTTGTTGTTGCTGTGCCACTGCCTATGGAGCGCGTCGTTGACTCCGCAACGGCGGCCGCCGCCGCTGCAGCTGCTGCTGCCATTGAAGTGGGTGTTAGGCCAACGACAAAGGGATTAATCGGCGCCATTGGCAGCATATTGAACGGTTGACGGCCGCACGTGACCATTTGCGAAATTGCGGTCAACACAATGTACGAATATCACAAACGGAAGAACAATGAGCGCGCGCGAGACAATGGCGAAATCCGGCCGGACGGGAAATTGAAAAAAATGCAACTGCCACTTGAAAGCGATTATTTGAACGTTCGATGGACAGCGCCGCTTTCGATGCACACAATTGTTTGCTTAACTAACGTACGGCCGGAATGAGCTTCGCGGTTTGCTGGTTAATTGAAAACTCGGCAAAATGACAAAGTGCTTGAATCACTGACTATAACGGACGGGCACAATAACAACAACACTGTTGATAAGTAGCAACGCTTCAGTGGCCATATAGCGTACGCGCACACTAACACACACGCACACATACGCGCCTGATTGCTACCGATTGCCGTTGGAGTACAGTGGTGGAGTGCATCCGTTGTGCGCTTCAGATAAGTGATGACATTGACAAACGAGACCGCAATTGTGACTGGGTTAGCTGCAACGGTAGCGCTGGCGGTATTAGTAGCGATGTAGCGTAACGGTTGCGCTTGAATTGACAAGCTGTCAACGCCATAATGCAGCTAAAAGCGTTTAATTGCGCGCACACGCATACACAGACGCACAGCAGCAGCCGCGTTCGAAGCGTATGCAGCCGACACGACAACACCGGTTAGTTCTGCACACACGCACAACTCCAAGCGCGATTGATGCGCTCAAACGTTCGCAGTAATTAGCGTTAACTTCAATTAAACGCTTATGACGACTCGCGCGCTTCGGCACTAAATGGCGGCTGCTTAATTTTAACACAGTATTATTTTATACGCACAAGCGCTTGTTTTTTCTGTTTTAGCTTTTATCAAAATTGCGACGGCAATTCGCGTAAAACACGCATTCGCTGCGAGTTTTCGACGTTGCGCTTCAATAAAACGTAAACGCCCGCCTTCGTTCGTGTCGCGTCGTACTGTAATGACGCTGCATTGCGAGAGCTTCTCGCACATTAAGCCAACGCCGCCAGCTACCAGCACCTTTGCTTACGGAAATAAAGCAAAACATGGCAAACAAAGCGGCGCTCACTCAGTGGCTACCGGAAAGCGTCAAATAGTTGTCTCACTCTTTTGCTTGGCGCGGTGCGAATGGTGCAAATCGTAGTTCGTGCGCATGCGGCAAAACTTGCATTTCTGCTTTTTGAGTTGACGCGCAGCGGGTGGAAGGTGGCGCAACATTGCAGCGCTTTAGTGGAGTGTGACTTTTTCGGAGCGCATAGCGAATTTTTGATGGTAGTGGTGCCGGTGGTGTTGGTGAATAGCGCAGCGCCCAGAGTAGGTGTTCTCTCAACCTTTGCTAGCTAAGTCTGTATTTGCTTTGCACTATATACTGTAACATACGCTGATACTTATGTACATATGTATATGTATCTATAGCAGATTATATAGGTAATTGTTTGCTTTAATTCCGCAGCGCTGGTTCGCTGAAATAAATTTTAAATTTACTATATCGAAATTATTTAATTTGTGTTGTTAGGCGCAAAACATACATTCTTTTTATAAAATTGACTTAAGTACATAACCTAAATTGTTTTCAGTTTTTATCTTAACTCCTTCAGACTAGCTCCGGTCAGGGTGGCGTTTATACCAAAGTCCCGAACTCCTCTTATCAATCGCTCTTCGGATGTTCCTAAAATCCTGTCGAGGCTCAGTGTTTTGAATATTTGAAACACGTTCCACACGAGCGCCGGCCACAAGCTCAACGTACATCCAGGCTAGGTCGGCCGAGACCGGCCGATAGAGGAAAACTCCATATTTATATAGAGACTTTTCTCTCAGATCCCTGGATACGCTTGGAGCCGAAGCCAATATAATTAAGCTTATCTAAGACATTGCATTCGACAGAACTATCAGGGTGGGTTGAAGTAGTGCGACTGTCTAACGAAAGGTTACTAGGGGCACGCCACAGAGTGGTGCTTACTTATCTCTTTTTTGGATTACTAGAGGAGGCTGTCGGCTGTTTGCCTTTGTAGATGCCGTCGAACTTTTACCGATTATTCTTTGATACACGCCTTCTTGGCTTTGGTGACTAAGCTAAATACTGAAATGTAACTCGCATTGTTCACTTGGAAGTGCAAGATACCCCATCGACTATTAAGGCGTTCGCCTGGAACTTTCTGATAGAGTCTTTTAATTGAGCTCGTTACTGCATTAGCAGTAACTCTTTAACGCTCTTTGACAATTATTTTTTTACTTTTATTTAATTACTCTTTAAATAACGGTTTTTTCTGAATTTTATTTAATAAATCCAAAATAACAATTATTTTTGATTTTTATCTAATCTAATCTGCAAACAACAGTCATTTTTGATATTTAAATTATATGCCCTAGATAACAATTATCGAAGACTTTCATTTGTATATAAGTAAATATCAGCCACTGACCTTTATTTCTTATATCATACTTATAAAAGTCATTTGTATAAGTCGTGGTAAACTTTTGTTTCCCAACACCTTCTTAACTAAAAGTTGGTGACTGATTTATATAAATAAAAGTCTTCAATAACTGTTATCTAGGGCATATAATTTAAATAAAAAAAATACATTTATTGGACCAAAAAGTAGTAGTGTGTAGGCACTGTGGCCAATGGTAATCATCTATTACCGCCTCTGCATGGAAGCATTGTTCGGAGGAATGCACTAGACTAGTTCGAGCACACTTTTAATTACCATCCAATTATAACTTAAGAAAGTTTTATTATACGGCAGTTGAGAAGTAGATGCGCAAACATTTCATAAATTTAATGAAGGGAATTTTTGCAGAAGCAGCAGTATATAGCATGAATTTAGGCTGCTGGTGGTAGCAGTCGCACCTAAATAGAGGTACTTAAGACCACTTTCACTTTGGCACCTCACATCATGATTAACACATCGACATCGTAGCCACAGTCGCTGCTGCATGGATTTTACATTAGACTTAGGGAGACAGGGTGCTAACTGACTCAGAATTTGGATACTGTAGTATTCTTGGAGGCTTCGACACGAATAACTGCGGAGCTAGGCTGGCAGAAAAAAAGCTCTCTCTATGTTCCCATCTCCTCTAGGGGTGAGTGGATGGCAGGTAACATCTACCAGGATGGATCAAATCTTGAAGGTAGGATCAGTGAAGCGATCTGTTTAAAACAGTCCAACGGGTAATTTACAGGAAGAGGTAGCTATCATTAAGGCTGTTCGAGTGTGTGACGTCCATAAGGGATGTAAGAGTTTGCTCCTACAGCCAAGCGATAAAGAGAGCTAATGCTTGCTCAGGTATCAATTGTGCCTGCTTATTTCGTAGTCAGGCTTACTGATATTGTAGGAAAATTCATGGCTGATGAGCAGACTCAAGAAAGCATACCTATACAAATCGGTCTCATCGAGAAAAGAGAGAGAGGGAATACATTTAACTATAAATATGTTGACTACTCTGGGCCAGATGGGCCCGCGGAGGTGGATCAGGAGATCGTATATTGTACTATGGGCCAGAAAGGAATAAAAACTGCCTTAAATTCAAAATCTTATCGGATTGGCTTGAAACTTGTCACTCGTCGAAATTAATTGAAACTTGTTGCTCAGATATTGTTGGGGTCGCTGATTATGGATCTGATATTAAATTTAAAAAATTCAAAATAGCGAATCCAATATGTTTGTCGGACGAAATATTGAAAATCGACTGGAATTCCTTCAACCTTGTTACTCACATATGTATGTATGTACATATGTAAGAATACTTCCTTTAAGCCTTATAAACAGGCCACAATTACCGACAATAACTCTTTATTAATGCGCCCAAACCAAATGTATACTCAGCTGACTACATATATATAGAGTGGCATGAGAACCAGTGAGAGAGGCTTCTGCTCACCAATCACCATTACACAACAACTTTAGGTGAGGAGCAGCAACAACAGCAGCCCGACCGATTTGCTTAATAGCTAGACAACAGCAGCAAATCTAAAATTACAATAGCAAAAACAATATGAACCATATTTATGTAGTAAAGTAAAAACAAAAAAAAATTACAAAAAAAAGCAAGGCTTGGAGGCAACTAAGCTAATGCTATGGTGGCGCAGTTTTTCACCCAACAACAACAACAAATACACAAACAACTACCAGTCCCGCGTTGGCCATTGAGTGTTGGCAAACAGCATCATTAAAAGTGTTTGTGGTTTTTTTCCTCAGCCACCACCCCAGCGCAACTGCTGCGCTCCACACCA